CTCACTCAACTCCAGTCACATGGTTGACACATACTGCCCTTCAAAATAAACCTCTTTACCAACAAAAGTAATACTCTCAGCATTAACAATGAACATAAACCCACATCTCAAATGAAACCTGTCATTTGGACAGTTACAGCGGTATTTTACCGTGAGTTGTCGCACCAGGTCAGCGCGTAAATATTCAGTCTCATGTCCGTTCATCATGTAGTTATTGTAAGAAATGTAAAAACGAAAGAGATTGAAATATGAAGTACAGATAAGCATTACAAGCAGCTGTATATAAGATGACGTGGATCAGTTTTACAGCCAGCCCCAAACACCAAAGACCAAAGACCAAAGCTGCCTACGCCTAAATGTGTTAGCACAAGCCGAATTGAGCTGTTCGGGTACAAAGTGTAAGGAGCAGAAGTCCATGTAGTGTCTGTCAGGATTCCTAGAGGCCTGTTGTAGGAGCCCCAGGTTATTGATCAGTGTGGTGTTGAACATGGATCAGCTGATGGGTTTAACTTTCACTGTGTGTGTTTGTTAGTTAGTAAACAACTATATATGTCACTGATGACGTTGTGTGTATGTCACTTTTCATTGCTAGAACTTTGCCCCTCCAACACAAAGAAACGAGCTCTCCACGTGCACTGTGCGTGGCTCTTAAAAGAGCCGTTGTGTTGCCAGAGACCAGGACCAGGTTTACCCTCCAAAGCCGTACAGGGTGCGACCCTGCCTCTTCAGCGCGTACACCACGTCCATGGCCGTGACAGTCTTCCTCTTGGCGTGCTCGGTGTAGGTGACCGCGTCACGGATGACGTTCTCCAGGAAAACCTTGAGCACCCCGCGGGTCTCCTCGTAGATCAGACCGGAGATCCGCTTGACGCCGCCACGCCGAGCCAGACGGCGGATAGCGGGTTTAGTGATGCCCTGGATGTTGTCTCGCAGGACTTTACGGTGCCGCTTGGCGCCTCCTTTACCGAGCCCCTTGCCTCCTTTGCCTCTTCCGCTCATTTTGATCTCAGTAGCTTCTACTGTGAGTGTCTCAGATTGACGAGTCCGTGTGACTTAAAGCTGATCTGAGGACGTAGTTGAAGTCAGGGGTCTGGTCATGAGCCCATAATGAGCTCTTTGGTGCGTCAGCGGCACCAGGTGACCAAGCACAAATGAGGGCCAGCAGGGCTCCTTCCCACCGTGCGCTGCTCAGAACCATTTGGCTGTGTACAGACACACACACGCACGCACTTTGACCATTAGTGCAGCCTCTAAGCACAGTGACAGGTTGCGTGTGTAAAGGTGCACGTGTAGGATTAGGTGTAGCTGGCGCGTCCTTTTCATTTTGCCACAGTGAAACACAAACGTTGTCTGTGTTTTGTCAGTGTTTGTAATTGAAAGGTTTTTGGAACATTAGAGGGAATGAGAAAGATGATATAATGGGCAGGTTTGTAGTGTGATGAAGGGCATCAATGGTTTTTAAAGAAGAGGAGTATGTTGTAGTGTAGCTAAGTGAAAAGTTTGAGTAATAATAATAATAATAATAATAATAGTTAGAAAGACATGAGGCTGAAGCTCTTTGTAGGAGAGTGTGTGGCTCTTAAAAGAGCCTTTGTGGTTGGCCTTGGCAGGTACGAGGCTGGTGCGCAGATCTACTTGGCCTTGGCAGGTTTCTCGGTCTTCTTGGGCAGCAGCACGGCCTGGATGTTGGGCAAGACGCCGCCCTGAGCGATGGTGACGCCGCCGAGGAGCTTGTTGAGCTCCTCGTCGTTGCGCACGGCCAGCTGCAGGTGACGGGGGATGATCCTGGTCTTCTTGTTGTCGCGGGCGGCGTTTCCAGCCAGCTCCAGGATCTCAGCGGTGAGGTACTCCAGCACCGCCGCCAGGTAGACCGGGGCTCCAGCACCGACACGCTCAGCATAGTTCCCCTTGCGTAGCAGCCTGTGGACACGACCCACGGGGAACTGGAGCCCGGCACGGGAGGAGCGGGTCTTTGCCTTAGCGCGGGCCTTTCCGCCAGTTTTTCCTCGGCCACTCATTGTCGGATTAACGTTCAACAGATAGGGGTGTAAGAAACTGTGACTAACGGCCAAGAGTCTCTGTTTTATGTCCGCGGAGAGCGCGGGACGGCGCCCTGCGCACCAACCAGAGAACAGGCTCTCAGCAGGAGGCGGGGCGATCACAGTTTGTTTTTTACTTTACTTTATTAAGGCAATGACAGTAGTTATACATAAGTAAGTAGACCGGAAACAAGAGGACTATAACATAAAATAAAGAACATAAAAACTAGAACAACATCGAAGCAGACAATGTGAACATGAAACCTTTAGGCCAGGGGGTGACTTAGGATGGAAGAGAAATCATTTTTAATTTGGCATAACAGGGCAGGGAAGAAGGGTTTAGATTTAGAGAATTTGCATTTGTGAATATAAAACTTTGCCATGAGTAGAATAAAGTTAATTAAATGTAGTTTGTCACTTTCCTTTCTATTATTGTTACACAGACCAAATAAAACATGTTCCCATTTCACAGCGAGGGGATAATGAATTTTGGAGGTGGGGCGCTCGCAGTTATGGCGCACAGTTTGAACGCAATTTCCGCCAATAAGCAGCGGAGGTTGAGGCGGTGGGTCGCTCCTCCAGGCGGGGCTGAGCGCCAGGAAAAGCCGCTGACCAATCAGGACCCGGAGCTCTGCAGCTGCGTCACCGTTTCCCCGCTGGTCCCATGGTTTAAGAACAGCGGTTCTCTTCTCTTTCTTACGCTTTTGTCGAGTTTAGACAAGTGTAAAGACATGGCAAGAACCAAGCAGACTGCTCGTAAATCCACCGGAGGCAAAGCCCCCAGGAAGCAGCTGGCCACCAAGGCCGCCCGTAAGAGCGCCCCAGCTACCGGTGGCGTGAAGAAGCCTCACCGCTACAGGCCCGGTACCGTGGGT